AATAATATATCGTCGAAAGTATTCGTTTCTGTAAAAAAATGTTTTGTATGTAGGTATGTTTTGGAGACTCGGTTGCCAAAGAAGAAAAAAAAATAAAATACCCACTTTTAACTATTTATGTTATGCGTCCCATGTAATAGGGGGTGAGTCTATTGCTATATTCCAGACTACGTGCTAATATTGAAATTTTGTTAAAAAAAATCCCAGTAATATTTTGCCCGACCCACTAATCGAACCCGACTCTTGCCCAGCAGTCGCAATTGCGACCATTCGGCCAATGAAGCAGTAATACTATTTTCAAACAACATAAAATATTTATCTACTTTACCTAACCTCTTTAGTATTATTCGTGATGTTAAGCGTCCCCACTAGCCTCGAATATTGTAGTTTGAAACAGATTTCCGAGTTAAACTATAAAGTCTCAGTCTTTTGTATGTAAAACTCTACTTTTATACGATACGGGAGCAAATCGTTTAGAAAATACAGGCGGGAAATGTGAGCTGTCACGCGGTGGCTGGGCAACCGACTGCCGTGCAACGTGTCGCGGGTCCTGAACGGAACAACACTGTGTGATCCACAAATTGTTGTTCCGGGTCTGGGTGTCAAGTGTATGTGAACTTGTATATTTGTAAACGCACCCACGACACAGGAGACAATCCTAGTGTGGAGCAACGTTTTATTTAAAAAAAAGAAAAAAATTGTAGTGGAGTTTATAAGACGCCATATTGACTTACCTCGATAAATAATGTAAAGACTGTCACTTTCGGACATTCTATTATCTAAGTTTCGAAAAGTTTACGAATGAATTTGTCTGTTAGACATATTCCTATTTAACACTCGGTTAACAGTAGGTTTACTATTTGAGTTCTCTTCATCAGTTCTATGACGATGGGGCTTCGATTTGTGCAGCTCTCTATACAACTCTTTCAGAAGTGAATAATAGACTGATTTTAGAGTTTTTTATTTTGTATTTTCTGCTCGTTTCAAAACCCCATCTTTACTATACCCTTGACTGAGCTGTCATAGTCCTCTTTGAGAGACAAAAAAACTTATGAAAAAGTTTTTCCCCAAACTGTTATGTCCGTATGTTTTCACAAGACGTGTAGAACAAGTTTGCACGCGTGCCCTCCTCACAGCGCGTCGGATTAGCAGCGCGAGCACCAGCTTACTACATCCTTGTCTTCAGAACTATGTTAAGCATTTGATACTGACACAAGTCAGATCAGATGTGGAAGGCATATGAGATCTTTTAGGCGACAAGTCTCAAATTAAAAATTGTAGTGTTTAAAAATCCTAATTGAAAAACATTATAGACGTTTTACTCGCTCCTAGAATTTTCGAAAGCTCCCCTCGATTTCCCTAGGATCCCATCATCAGATCCGGACCTCATGGAAATGGGAGCATCTCGGGAGTATACCCTTTCAAGCAAAACAAGCATTTTGGAAATCGGTCCACAAATGGCGGAGTAATGCGCGAACAAACAAAAAAAAAAACAAAAAAAAGGAACAATCAGCCGAACATAGTACCTCCTCCTTTTTTTAAAGTCGGTAAAAAATGACGTTTATTGATCCATGTGCGCATTGTGCGCTATATCAAACTAGAACATATTGATTTTCGATTCGAGATCGGATTTATAGGCCCTCAAAAGTACATTCTTCTATTTGTTTTTACGTATTTACACGCTTCAGATTATAATGGCATTAGGTATGGTGTTTTCTATCATAAGTTTCTTTGAGACAGCATGCAATCAAAAAATGACATCCTAAACTTTCATGTCACTATTTACGACCAGCGACGAATCCAGCAAAGTCTAAAAAAAACGAAAACAGAAAAACTCAATCCAAAACAAAGAAGAAGATACTTAAGCCGTCTGACTCATAAAACTTATTTCGCCAATATCCAAACAGAAAAGATTTATATTAAAAAAGAAAGAACAACAGATTTTTTATCTGTGGACCGTCTGTAATAAGAGAAATAAGTAGGAAAGTTTCAAATAAACATGGCTCCTTGAATAAATAAGTCTATTTAAATGCATTGAAAACTACACTATGAGACACTCTTTCAATACTAAAACTTATTACCAAAGTACTTAGGTCTCATGTTGCAAAATTGAGTTCTAGTACTTTGTGTAATTTGTCATTTTCAAGACGATTCCTCTGTTGACTTGTAATGTAATATTAAGTATTAGCGGATATTATTCCTGTTTAGCATTATTGAGCTACAAGATTATCCTTATTCTCAGTAATAGAACGAGGTCTGGGATTGAGCCCGTGGTTTGGAATTAAGCTCGCTTCCTCTATTACATGGCACTCTCAACATAACTGACGGAAGGGGGGGTCTGGAGGGTAGGTACTTTAGTACCTACTTAGGTAATCATAGGTCTATCTTTCCCATTACATATTCCAGCTGAAGAAGTAGGTACAGCTTTGCAAAAAAATATTTAACGCGGTGACAGCTGGAACTATTATCTACTTGGACTGAACCACCCACCTCGGACCATATCCCATGAATATACAATCATCCGAACATTATTACTTGCTCTTTCTCAACTCGATAAAAATAACAAATATCGAAACTGATTGAATTGTAGTGTACGAGGTCGCCATATGTACCAAATATATTATGATATTATTTTTTTTAGGGGGAAAATCATCGATTGACTTCTGTCGCCTGGGTGAGGCGAGAGGGAGTGTCAGACTCTTACTGACTAAAAACCACCCCGTTCCTTCTCCTGCACGTCGAGCCGGAGCCCCAGTAACCTGTAAAGTTCTCCGCGGAATATATTCTTATGATGGAATGACATTCTTTTTTTTTAAGGGCGAAAATCATCCAATGGTTTCTCCCGCCTTGGGTGAGACGAGAGGAAGTGTCAGACTCTTACTGACGACAAACCACCCCGTTCCTACTCCTGCACTTCGAGCCGGAGCCCCGGTAACCCGTTAAGTCCTCCGCGGCTTCGAATTATGATATTACTTAAGTAGTGTTGAAACTTTGTTAAGTACTTAACTACTTATACTTAAGTCGCTATAGTTACTACGATTCTATCTACCCATTCAAGCCGTGCGGGGACGGCAAAGTAGACAACATTTATCACTGCCTCCACTTCTGTCGCTAATGTCGTAAGAACCGACTAAGAGACTACAAAGTCAAAGTCAAATTAATTTAATTCTATCAGACAAGGAAGGCACTTTTCAACGTCAAAACAAAATGTTGAAAAAAGTATTAAAAAATGTCTGTCGACCAGTCCTCTAGTGAAGCCATTCACTTACTACTCGTTCCAAAGTGTAAATTCCTATGGAGAAGAACGAGCAAGAAACTCCAAAGGTTAGATTAGTAACGAGTAAGATATTATGACAAATCGGAGAACATGTCTTTACTAAAGTTAATTTGTTTTTTGACTGCTATTTCTAACCACAATTTTTACGTTACACATAGCAGGCCTCAACGAACAGTTTTTGTAAAATCCTCTAACGTGAATCCCATAGCCCAGTACCACCAGTGAACCTTCACCGACTGTGAATGATGAATACTATTATCTAATACCTACCTATCCATTTATTAAAATAAACATTAAAAACTACATTCTTAACAACTTTTCTTCACAAACAACTGCTGACTCAGACGCCATCATGAATGTACAAAACATTTTCAAAATGGCGTCTGTGAGCATTTCCCGCGCTTTGTAACGTCACAAAGCCAACGGTACACGCATACTATACTGACTGTAATTACAGAAAATGTGCTTTATTCGAAGCCACGCGAGCTTACAACCTTTTAAACGTATTTTATTTTCGAAAATGTATCCCGAACTTCAGGTTACGAAAATGTTTTGGGAATTATCTTAATGACTTCTGCGACCTACGAAATAATGTCGCAGATCTACCTATTTTAAATTAACATTTAACATTATGCAATATTTGTGTTGTTAAGCTCATTACATTTGATTTACCCCATTGATCGAGTTCGAGTGATCGCAAATAGAGTTGGATTAGATTTTCGAATCATTCGATCACAATAGGATCCTCCTAAAATATAATCATAATGTGGCATCTGTACCAATCCTAGTGTATTCTACACGATGTGCCGATGTGTGAATTATAATTAGCGTTCGTACCTTATTTCTAGATTGAACCCCAGACTGTGATTAAAGTCACGCAACCTGCAACCTACAGAGGTAAGATATTTTTTCTCCATCATAAATTATTAAAAGCGCCACTAGGACCTGATGGCAAATCACTAACACTGATAGCACCTTGTTGCACGAACATCTGACGTAGTAGTATTACTATACTCTATGCATAGTACAGCTGAATTTAGATAGATGGCGCTGTAACCAAATTACAAATCTTACTATGCCAAAATACTATTAGTATTGATTCTGCTGCAAAAATTATTAATTTCTTCTCAGTAAAAAGAAATCAAACTAATTAGTTACCACAAAACATTTATTATATCATTTATATATATAAATGATATAATTAAACATTCTTTAGCTACAGCTAGTTATTTATATACAAATTAGGAATAGAGATAAAATCACAGTGTGGTAGCGAACATCAACATATTTAGCTTTATAACAAAATAGACCTAGTATCCTGTATTATTTTAATTGAATTAACAACAAAGTGATGAGTAGAGGACTTAGTACGAATTAGTTTCACTCTTAACGAGATCGGATCGAGACCGCAGTCTGATTGGTCGGCTCTAATGAACCATTGCCAATAGGAGCGGAGAACGTGCTCTCGATTGGATCTCGTTATACGTTACACAAACTCGTACTAACTACGTCGTACCTCATACCTCAGAATAAAATTGCAAGAAATAACAGTTTTCAAGTGAAAAGGAAAGTACTTAGCCTTACGAGTTATGACCGGTTTTACATCCATTAAAAACAACCTGATAAATACAATTATAATACTTAAACCAAATCAGTACGATTCTATCTGTAAGTTATCAGAGACCTATAAAACTAGCCAAATCACACTAAAAGATAAACATTTTCATGGATTTTCATGTTTATCTTCGCTAAACTGCGATGAGATCCAAGTCAACGCCCATTTTAAATTCGTCAACATGTATTTGAGTGCTTTTGTCCAGTGCTCTTCGGAGTTAAACTGAATTTTGATTGAATATGCATGTGGCGGAGAAGCTGTATCCTCAATCTTACCTTTATCTATTCGGTAAGGCAGACAGAAACCCGTATTGCCTTTCTCAACTTGCTCCTTAAACTGTTGAAGACAGTCTAAGAATGCTACCATGGCCGCATCGAACTTTGTGTCCCATAGGAAACGGAATCCTCCGGAACCGTATAACGGTAGGACTTTCTGATCCTCTAACACTTCTATATAAGAGTGGTTTCCGTATGGTACAAGCTTATAGCGTTGGAAATTAAAGCTTATTTTACGTGCCAATGAAGAAAGGAGAAGAACGGTTTGACCCCAAGCAGCGTTAATTTCGGACCAGTCAACTGGTGCGGATGGCAAACGTCCAAGCCTGAAGTTGTTTATAATACCGAACTGACCAGAATCTGAAATGTGGAATGTAGCCTTAAATACATTTGTTTTCTTTAACTTTTCAAGTTGAGACTGTGTGTATGTAAGTTGACACTCGTAAAACTTCATTTGGTCCTCAATGGTCATCAAATCTTTCCGGTATCTAGTGTACTCTCTCCAATAAACATCTTGTTCCTTTTCTAATCTCTCTTTTTCTCTTTCTTGGACATCAATCTCTTCTTTCATAGCTTTCTCCTCTTTTTGTAAAGCAGACAATTCCTGTAGTAAACGACTTTGTTCTTGCTTCCAATCCCCTAATTCCTTTTCCAACCCTTCCAAATTCAAATCCTCCTTATCATCCTCTAACTTTTTTAAATAGTCATTGTAGTCTTTCCATTCAGCCTCAGTTTGACGTAACTGGTTATCCATTAACTCTAATAATGTATCTGTGCACTCATCGCACAATGGATGGTCTACATCTGAATTATTTGATAATAAGTCGAATAGAGTAGCTTTGACGTGAAGCTGGTGGCCCAAGGAGGTTGTCTCCCAGCCGTCTGAGATCACCATAAACCCATTTGCGCCGTTACCTGATTCTGACATGCGAAACGGAGGTACGTAATGTTCTAAGCTTGTTGATTGCATATCTAAGTCGACCTCATTGTTGCGACGGATTTGGAGCGCAAGGTCAGCAATCGTGTGCTCACCCAAGTTGTTCAGAGACTCATCCAGCTTCAGTGGCTGCAAACATCGCTGACACGAAAAGTTTACGAAAGACTTTGAATCACTCATCGTAAGGACCTTTCTCTGTTACGTCATGTACAAAATCCAAACATAGAATACTATAACGGTGTCACTAACACGTAATATCGATAATTTATTGTGGCTTTGAAATATTTAAGTTGTCTAAATAAGTTAATTTCAAAGAAATCAAAATGAAAACAAAGAACTTCGATCCTCCCACGATTTATTTTGCAATAATGAATTTGACGTTTAAAAAGAGATGCTCACAGTGCTGTTTAGAGGTTTAAAATCGACTAATTTAGTTTTCGATTACCTTGAAATGTTACTAATTTAAAATGTGAGATGTAATCATTATTAATTTAATGGAAGTACATTTTTATTTAATTAGGGGCTGATTTTTCAACGCTATATAAAATTTCTTGGTGTAATAATTTAGAATTCTGACAATTTATTCATACTAAAAACTGTCAAATGTCAATATTTTTTAAAGATAAGAAAAATTTGTTGATTGGGTAATTAGCCCTTACTTCCTTCCTTACTATCATTTAACCATTTTTGTGATGTAATCGAGTAAGAATAAATTAGTAACTTAAAAGAACACACCGTAAGACTACTCTAATGACAACCTGACAACCGGTCCTCATGCCAATGCCTTGCAATGCAATGCCACCAAAGCGACAAATCAGTATCCGAAGGAAAACACGTAATACTATAAGAAATTGTTTTCTTACAGCCCTTGTGATGTGGGAAGTGATTCCATTTGGCTGGGCCCATATCAACGATGTCAAAGATTTCTTCAGATCGTGGTAAAGCCAAGATGGAAATAACTGATACAGTTTACTTACATCACATTAGTACCATTTTCAAGCTCTCAAATCTTAAACAAGATGTGGCGAAATAAGAAAATTATATTGGTGCTTAAATCGTTTAGACACTAAACTAATTTTAAGTTTGAAACGCAAAATGGAATGAAAATCCTTTCAAGAGGTCTTTAAGTATGAATTATTCAAGATTGTAATAATACTAACCAGATTTTAGTAGGTATGTCAACTGCTTACCAATATTTCTTTGAGATAGATCTCAAAAAAGGCACATTCAATCAGACAATATTGAAGTAAACCCGCATTGCTACAAGACTGCATTGATCGACTATTTACGTACTAGGGTACGTACGGTACTTTTTTATTTGTGTTTTTGACGTTTTTGTATTAAATGTATTTAAAATCAATAAATACACCTACAAAAATCATGTAATAATCTTTAAAAAGCCGATGGTTATTTATTTTTATAAAGCCTTCATATTAAGCAGAGTTGGAAGTCTTGACTATCTCTGTTAACGATAGTAATCTTTGCGAACGAAAGTGTTGTCGATAACAATGTCGAGACTGACGGCCCAGAAAGCACTGCGGGCCGCCTCCTACTGCCACCTTTACATAAGTACTTTATACCTACATCTTTTACTTCGTCTATTATCATAGTGATAAAATTACGCCTATGCCTACTACAGGTACTATTTGAATTAAAGCTACAAAAGACGTACTTTTTGAGATATTTATTTTCATAACCATTTTGCTACAGCGCTATCTAACGATTGTGAAACACATTTTTATTCCAACCTCCCCAACACCAGTTTTATCAAAGGTTAAGTTCTTATTTCTGTCCAATAGATGGCGGTAGGTATCGGTTCTGTCGCGTCGTAGTCGTATTTTCTCGAAGTCGCGGAGAACCTAACAGGTTATCGGGGCTCCGGCTCGAAGGTCAGGAGAAGGAACGGGGTGGTTTTTAGTCAGTAAGAGTCTGACACTTCCTCCCGCCTCACCCAGGCGGGAGCAGTCATTCGATGATTTTCGCCCCTTAAAAAAAAGGTCGTATTCTGGATTTTTGCGCTGATGGCGACCAACCTATTTGTCATAATATATTATAATATGTACTGAAAAAAAATTCTTAAATAATAATTTTAAGGAATTACTACAAACTCAGATTTTCAATATAATACTGATGAACTGATGACTGTTGATGAAACGAAAGAGGTACTTATGTAAGAATCGTAGTAATTAGCGTTCCATAATCTCTGCCTAGCCCCATGGGAGACAGACATGAAATTATGTATGTTCATAATAAGGTTCGAACCTAAAATGCCTTGCCTGAGAGAGACAATGAGAGGCAGTTGAACTTAAAAAATAAAAACGACAATAAAATAATTCTCATAGAACTTTAATTCACTTCAGACTAGAATACAATGGTTTGAAACATAAACTGCACCATCAAACTATAGTATTTTGAGCATTAATCACAAAATAATAGCGTCTATTTTTACTCATAGGCTAAGATCGATGTGAAATGTTTATTTACAAACCATAAAGGTAGAAAAATTACGCCTTCACAATGGGGTCTACTGTTTTTTTGTTCACTAGATGTCACTAGTGTAGTCATCTTGTACTTCGTCCAATAGGAAATTTGCTAGTATCACACTAATGGAAGTTCCATATTTGACAGCTATATTGATTAGGAGGACTAATTACTAACGGGTTGCCGGGGCTCCAGCTCCAAACGCAGAAAGTCTGACACTCCCTCTCACCTCACCCGAGCGGGAGAAGTCATTGGATGAGTTTCCCCCTCAAAAGACCTCTTGCTAGGTTTGCACAATCTAGTGAGCTATAAAACGATAGCCCCCATTCCATACGGTCACACTTCCACCTTCTTTCGCACCCTATTTATTAACAGTTCTGAATGATAACAAAAAAATGGAATCACACAAAAGCTGTTCGCTGCGGTCAAATGTAGTTTAAACTTTGTGATTTGTTTACAAACATTTCAAACGATCTGAGCAAGTATTGATAATAATAGAATGTTACACAGATTTGCATATCTTTTTAAAGTATTGACAAACTTAAATTAAAACTAAATTATAAACTGCATGGCATTTAGGAACTATAGTTTAAAAAAAAACAAATATAAGATTATCTATAAGATCCCCTCAGTAGAATATATCTAATAAATTGTTACCTTACGGTAAACACTTATTTTTAAACCTCAAAATACGTATTCCACCAGTTTGATTGCAACGTCATCTATAATACCAAATACTTTTAAGTAACTACTAAGTATGTCGACAATAATAATAAAACTTTAATACGTATACATAACATAACATAACATAACATCACGCCTTTTATCCCCGAAGGGGTAGGCAGAGGTGCACATAGAAGTAACACCCACTTTTCACTATTTATGTTATGAGTCCCATGTAATAGGGGGTGAGCCTATTGCCATATACCGGGCACATTTCCAGACTCCGTGCTACTACTGAGATTTTTAAAAAACCCCAGTAATACTTTGCCCGACCCGGGAATCGAACCCGAGACCCCTTGCCCGGCAGTCGCACTTGCGACCACTCGGCCAATGAGGCAGTATACATAAAACTAGAATTAACTATTTACAATAATCTAAAAAGTATAAAATAATATTTTTATAGCAGTAACACCATTTTTCACAGTCCGATAAAATGTAAGGAACTACATAATATCTTACCCTTAGAGCAGTAATGCCATCTGTTGAGAATAAGTAAGAACTAATTACAATTTTCACTGTTGTTTTAACACTGGTAGGTACAGTACCTAGCAATAAATATTGCACATCGACCTTTGAACGGGGACAGTCAGCCAAAGACTGAACATAAAAGTTTTGTAGAAAAAAAAGATCAAAATATCAGACGAGATTGTCTTTTTCCAAAATTCGATGTGCGATATTTATTGCCGGGCACTGAAATAATTGACTATTTTTTTTATTGGCAATTATGGTGCGCCGCCATGTAAATAGTGCGTCGGATCTTGCAGTTGGTGGTAATAGGCATTAGGGAGCAATGCCTGTGCCAAACCTCCTTGGGGTCCCGCATATTGAGCCGGTACTAGCATTTCTCTGAAACAATAAAAAAAATTTAATCAAAAAGTACGTTCTGGTTTTGACCTGTATGTATGTATGTAGGTATATTAGTGCGCGATTATCTCACGATTGGCTAAACCGATTTCGATACGGTTTTCAGAAAAGTGTTTGTTAGACTTTTTTTTAAAAGGGGAAAATCATCAAGTGACTGCTCTCGCCTGGGTGAGGCGGGAGGGAGTGTCAGACTCTTACTGACTAAATACCACCTCGTTCCTACTCCTGCACTTCGAGCCGGAGCCCCGGTAACCTGTTAGGTTCTCCGCGACGTGTTTGTTAGACTTTTTTTAAGGGGGTAAATCATTAAATGACTGCTCCCGCCTGGGTGAGGCGGGAGGGAGTGTCAGACTCTTACTGACTAAAAACCACCCCGTTCCTACTCCTACACGATGTTTGTTAGACTTAGGAAAAGGTTTTAGTATACTAATTAACCGACTTAATAATAAGAGGCGATTGAAGTCGATTTTTAATATCAACTTAGTTTATAATAGAATTATTATACCTAACAGATTTTTTTAAATGTTCGGTTAAGTGTGTGAATGTGTGATTATTGTGGATACTCATTCAAAGTTTTGTTTTTTTATTTAAATAGTATGGCATTTTGTGATAACCTCTACCTACTCAGTACTCATCCCTTGAGTATTGACTGCACGGTTGGTGCGATGACTGGGGTAGGTACTGGCTGCCGCGCAACGTCGCGCGGGTTCGATTCCCGCACGGAACATCTCTTTGTGTGATCCACAGATTGTTGCTCCGGGTCTGTGTGTCATGTGTATGTGAACTGGAGAAAACACTAGTGTGGGGCAACGTTAAAAAAATGTCGACTATACATTTCTACGAGAGCGCTATAAAATGTCTAAACCTTTTTAATTAACCGCGATCTCCAACAGAATATGCCTTAAAACCTATTTCAATCCATATGCCGTAATGTGCACCTCTGTCTACCCCTTCGGGGATAAAAGGCGTGATGTTATTTTATGTTATTTCAATCCAAAATCTGTGGATTAAGATCGATTTTTAACCGAAACTCCAAACAACAAATGTTCAAAAATTGTGTACTTGCCAACTAGTCAAATTCAATACTTTTTTCGAACTGTCAAAAACGTCAG